ATTATTCTAAACAAAAAACTTAACTAAGTAATATTATTTAAGCTATTCCTGTTGAATTAAAATAGTTAATTAATCATATTTATTTTAAATATTTAGACATTTTCAACATAATGAATTAAGATTAATAAGCTGGTATAATTATAACAATAATTTGAATTTGGTCATAAGCTTTATTATTTTTCGACCAATATTCTAACGATAGTAAACTAAAATGATTCGTTTAAAATATTAGTACTTAATTGCAATGTAAAGTTCGATAGTTTTAAAAAATCTATTTATAAATCTCAATTTAGTCGTGTACAATTTTTATAAACTGGAATGACAGTTTAGTGTAGGCGCTGAGACATGAAGTCTTTGAAATACCCTATTATGGATATACTTGCAGTGCATACAATTATTAGATATGTTTTTAATTCTTTTGCCAGCAAACTAGTACAATATATTATGTTACATAAGGTAAAATATGTGTTGAGAAATTAAATGTGACATTATTAATGGAGTTCGTGTTTCTACTTTATAGGTACTTCTAATAATAGTAAAACTGTAAAACGCATAATACTGGTTAACTGAAGTACGGAAATATAATATCATACAAATGATTAGTTAATCAACTCGTCTTTATATTAATATTATTTATATTCATTTTAAACGTATTGAATTATATTGTTTAATTTAAATATATTTCAATGTCTTCGTTTAATATAATTAAAAGAAAAATCTATCACTCCTATAGTTTTAACAACAACGCCAGACGTAAATTCAAGTGTAGATTTATTTCAGAGATATATCAATCAAAATTATTATTCAATTTTTACCTTTTTGTATGAATAATAATAATATTTACATGAACAAACTTGGAACACGGTAAATTATTTCTTCTCTTCATAATCTAACCTATCTAAAGACAATTCGTCCATCGTAGATTCTGAATAATTGTTATAAAAAATAATTAATTTTTAATAAATTCTGAGTATTAACCATATTCTAGTCGTCGTTCAGCGTTTGTTTTAATAATTACTGGTTGAGATAAGTAAGTTTTATGCAACCAACACATTTTCTTTCACTGATAATATACTCAACTATTAACTTTGAATAGTTTTATGTTATTAACTGCTGTAGCTGGTCAACAATGACTACTGATTATAGTAAACCTATTAAAAATACTTTCATATTTTTTATTCGAGTAGTAACCGCCTGTATCTTAACATAACAAATATTTTAAAGTAATGGGTTTTCAGAGGAAACCTATATTCTACTTAGGAACCTTTATTCTATATTAATACTTTATTTATTTAAGTACAATATTATTATTGTAGTCCTCAGATATTTCTTGTCTCGTGTAACATTGTACTGTGGAATTGTTATTTACATGGAGCTATCTTATTAAGAAATAATATACTTGATCGTAGTAAGTCATTAACACTGTACACTTTGATAATAATAGCCAGGAATTCCGAGAATCTTGTATTGTTTAACCACTTGAATGACGTAATTTTATCTCAATATTTTATTACTTTTTGTATTAAAAAAAAACAAAGTGTATCCCGATGTCTATCACGACAATCGAAAACGAATCCATAATATATGTTTACGTTTCATTATTATTATTTTTTTTTTTTGCAACTAGTGGTTTGCTATATAAAAAAACACAACAATCGAAATTGCATAAACACAATTATTCTCCGTAGAACATCTGACCACAATAACTGAAACTCGTCCGGATAATAATCGTTTAGATCTCCTATATATTATAATGATAAGCTGAGGAGCGTCGGACGACGATGGTTTAGGTTTTGTGCTCAATCATGGGTTATAATAATCTTACTTAACTCTGTCACGTTACACAATTACATAAAGCGAAAGAAGTGTATGTATAACAATAATAACAATAACGACAACAATAATAATAGAATATATATTTGTTGTATATAATGTATAAATGTATGTATGAATGTATGCATGAATGTATGTATGTATGTATGTATGTATGTATGTATGTATGTATGTATGTATGTATGTATGTATGTATGTATGTATGTATGTATGTATGTATGTATGTATGTACTATGCACTTATGTATTATGCATGCATGTATGTTTGCAAAAAGTATAATATTACGAGGACGAGAAAGTCTTCGGGGTTTGACCCGAAGCCGTTTGACCCAATCGCCTCAGTCAGTCCATCAATCGTATGACCCACCGGGCAGTTCGTCATCTGCTCGCGCACACGTTTCTTTGGGCAGCGCCATCGGTGCACCAATTTGCAAATGATTCGGATCGTGAATCAGACACACCTCCTTGGGTGATAGCTTATCACGAATATTCGTGGATCCGTTACCCGATAGGGCCGTGGCCGGGTCACATGGACGGTGTGGCAACCAGCAAGGACTAACCGATTCTCCCATTGATCCGACGACCGTGAAACTGTATAGAAATTGCGCGTTAGGTATATATCGAGATGCGTTTAGGTACCACTATTAAACGATGGGAATTAATGAGACGTCATTCGAAATACATTAGTGCCCAAGAACTTAATCAAGTGCCTACTCAAACCACTAATCGATATTGGAATATTTTTTATTTAAAACAACGTCTTGACTTGACCATGATACTATATTGCACGATTCATTGGAACTTCTAGGTTTCATAAAATCAAATGAATAATTTAAAATCATATGTTATGATCGTAAATCCGTTTAACCTAATACTCCACCTGCTACTAACTAAACATAATTTGATGATATTTATTAAACCGTTTGGTAAATTTATTTAAAAAATATATATATTACATGCACTGTATAATATTATGTAACCATAATATCTGGTAATATATGGAATAATAATACTAACTTATAGTTATACGGTTACATCACTATCTTCAAAATACGATTCGTATGATTTCAAATAACACTAAAATTATTAATTTTCTTGATTAAAAATACGAACTTTTACAATATTATATACTATTTTAAATTCAATAATTGGATTTGTCTAGAGAACAATTATTTGTCGACTGGGAAGTGAGTGTTACGTATTAAACTCGAGGCGTGTCATTGTATCTCACGGGAGATTGCACTAATCATCGTATTGCATACAAATGGGTTTAATTTCGTTGACCTCAAAAACTCGGCCAGCGCTTTTTGGCGTATAGTCTCTTTAAGTAGATGCTTTCGTTGATTCGGCCACCCACTTTGATTGAGGCCATTGTTATTGTAACAATGATGTAACAAAACACCGGTAAACGGTAACGAATATATCCAGAACATAAAACGTAATAACATACCTCCGGAAATTATACTCTCGCTTATGAATGTATTAAAAACATTCCAGTTGCATCAATGTGTGTTGAACCGTAGTTCAACTCAAGGTTGTACAACGTTTCTGAATGAAGTATCGTAAATATAAGTGCTTAAATATGAAAAGATAGGTATAATAATTTGAATAATATGAGTTTGTAAAATTCAACAATATGATCTTCACATTTCTGAAAATGGACTGAAAGATACTTGAATTAATAATATAGGTATAGTATAATATCATTCACTATACAATACAGAACTAATCGATGTAAAATATTATACCTACAGTTAGTTTGACAATAATGAATCGTAACAGCATATGAGAAATAAGTTGCGTATTGGAATATACTTATTTTATTTCATATTTTTAACTAAATATAGGTACATGAAAAAAAATGTGATTTCATTCTTATTGTTCTTTTCAGCTCAAAATACTCGATTAATGATCAGTATAATTCCTTTACAGAAATAGTGCTTAAAATATTTAATAGTGTGTAATGTGTATAATAATTTTCCATTTTTATTTGTGATACCTTATAAAAATTATCAATTCAAAACAACATTGCTTCGTGTGTTTTGATAATTGGTTGACGATACGTATTTATAAGTAAAAATGAAATCAAAAAAAATGTTTGGTGTTATGTTACATATTTATATAGGTAGTAGGCAGTAGAACTTGGACACCTTGGAACCCGGTAAAATTAATTTAACGAAATAACCAGTCAGTTTGTGGACAGTTTCCCTTAGGGCTTGTCTTCAATTTTGACGACCTTGTCTATATTTAGTCGTGGTTATGATGTCACTGTTTGCTGTATTCATCATCTCTAATAAACTGTTTAAGATAACACTACAGTTAAATTATATTTCACAGTCCGTTATTCTGGGAAAACATTCATTTTTAAATTATAAAAGAGTAACCTATTATTTAGTCTATCATTTTATTTTATTGTTATATACGGAAAGAGTATTATAGAGCAAATTAGTAAAAAAAAAATCATCAACAGGATACGATACATTTCCAACTATTTACAGTTAAACCACTCAATCTCAACTATAATTTTATTTTAGAGCATAATATTATTATCCAATGTTTTAAACAAAAAAAAAATTAATATCATCAACAGATACGAAACCGGCAATGGCATCCAAGCCCAAGAGAGCGGTTCCGTGCAACCGGCACAAAATCCCAACGAATCGGTGCTGAATGTCGAGGGTGGCTACTCTTACACAGCTCCAGACGGTACACCAATCAGCGTGAAATACGTCGCTGGTCCCCAGGGATTCGTTCCGGTCGGCGACCACCTGCCCACACCACCACCATTACCGCCAGCAATCGCCAAGTTGCTCCAATTCCTCGCCACTCAGCCGTCCACACCGGAACCAGCTTACAACAAAATTAAGTAAACGTCCGACACAGCTCAAACGTCATTCCCCAACACGTATGCCGCGTGCTTATGAGCCACGTGTTGCATATATATGTTAATCTGTATAACTACTGTCATTATTTATTTTCACTTTCATTCAAATTCATTTTTTTTTTTTACTTTTATTTGTTATTTGTTATTTACCCTTCTTTATACTACGGAAGTATGCCATGGAAAATGTATTGTGTGCATAAAATATTGCGTTCGATTCTAATTACATATTATTAATTAGATATTGAATTTTTGTAATAAAATTGTACTTATATTACACATATTGTGTTATTTTTCACTGAAATAAGTGATTACAGTATCTGAAGATATGATTTTCATTTTTCATGACAAGTTCCTATTACCTAAGGTCCATTCAATTATTTTCTCAATGCCTTAACGTAAGTTACAATACAATAAATGTTACTATATCACAACATATATATCACATATAATTAAATACCAAACTGTATAGTCTTTGTGGTTTTTTTTAATTTAAAATAATAAATCAATCACATTAATCTTTGTACAATATATTTATATGATGTACCTATACAGTTTTATGTTAAGAGAATTTCTCTGTATATATTGTAATTTATAATCCATATTAGTAAGTATAATATAAACAGAATCATAATGGTTAATGAAACAGTAATTTGAATGAAGATTGAATTGATGGAGGATTTAATTAAATTCATTGTTAATGCTTGCATTCAAAATAAGCTTGTATGGAGTAAATCAATTGGTCAACGTATTATGGACTCATTATATAACGTTCAAAACATAAAAAATGACAAAAGAAAATTAGTGTCTTACATCAACAAAATCAATAACTAAAAACCATCATGTATGATAGTTTTTATATTATCGCCACTAGTCACTACACGCCAGTTTATTAATACTTGTTTATAAATTGAGTTATGATGGTATAATGAAATGACATGTTGAATACATCTAAAATGCAATATTTAAAACCATTGAGCCATACTTATTATCATAATTGAAATAAAAATAACTTCAAATACAATTTTGTTATTTTAATAAAAATTTCAATAAATGATAATGTATTGCCATTGGGCCAGTATTCATCAAAAAAATATATTTGTAAAATTAAAAACAAATTGTTTTATATATTTATATTGTAAATAATTTAATATTTACTGAAAAATAATATTGACCCAGTTTCTAAAAAATATTTGACTTAAAGTTTAAAATTACCAATATTGAAAATGAAAAAAAAACTAGATAAGCTAGTTATCTTTGCTAATAGTATATTCTGAGTGAGCACGTCATTGAGTTCACTGTTATGGATGTGTTGAATTTGAATTCAGTGATACCTACATAATTTTGAATTACAAAAAAAAAACAAAATCGATTTTATCAAAAGCGTTATTGTGTGAATATTTCTTATATTACAGAAATTTTTTTTGGTTTTCACGATTATTTAAAAAAGTTTTGAGAATTTTATAAATCTAGTTCTACTACTCCCCAAAGTACCAACTTCAAAGTTTCAAAGATGACAATAGAAGCTACCTATTTTTATTGCTCATATAAAGGGTGCAATAAAACAAAAAAAAAACATAGGTGCTTCGTTGCAGGAAAACGAAATTACTTTCATCGAACCGTTAAGAATCTAAAATATTATGCTTGTTACCAGTTAATACCGACAAATTTATCTCTATCAAATATATTATTATCCTGTTAGTATAACTATGTAAATATAAATTGGAAAGCTTTCTTCAACCGTCATAGTATAATATATTATATATTATGAAGATTACCGTTAAAAAATTATTTAGCAACTTCAACGGTTAAATTTACAAAAGATGTATAAACTCAAAATTATTGTACCATTGTAAACTCAAAAAATTTCAAGAAGTGAAAATCTCTGTACTACTGTAACTCGCAGGGATTTCTGCAGACTATTAGTTCCGTTGATTTCAAAAAAACGGAACCTCAGTTAGGTACCATCATAGACGCTAAACAATAATAATAATGTGGACAAAGCATTTTACGCTGTTGTAAGACTATAAATTTAATTTTAAATAGTTCCCAGATCGAAAATATGTATTATGTCAATAAACCAGTCATACTGCTATTTATAAAATAATTCATCACGATGTTCATAACTCCCGCTATATTTTATATTATAATAAACCCTCTCTCTGCCTTTCATGGAAACATCATTATTATTATCATTATTATTAGTTTGATAAATATTTTTTATTATTTATTGCAATTCAGTTGTACTAGATCGAATATCGATCAACTTTTATTTTTAGCATACCTATTGCCAATATTATTGCATGTATTATTAAAAATATTCAATTAAAATTATATTATATCTTAACCAATTTAAATAGATAGGTAGTACTCAAAATAGTTAGCACTGTGGCCACTGTCAGTATAGATGGATTATAATATAGCTATTATATAATCTTTCCCGACACTCTAGAGGCTTTTAATCTAAATCACTATACTTTACATGTTTTAAGTAGGTATCGATTTACTATTTAAACTATCCCATACTCTAGGCTAGAGTTTCTCAAAGTGTAGAATCTAGGCATTACATCGTAGGTATATGCATAGTGAAATAATTGATTTTCGAAAGGTACTCAAATATGTATACGATGAGTAATGTTCGATAGTTGAAAAAAATAAGAAAAGTACAATGTAAATAAATAATTACGATTT